CTGGCATGGGGAACGGCCACCTGACGTCATCCCGAAGTCTCTGATGTGGAACACCCCTCAACAGTTCTGCTCAAGTGTTTCAGTAGTTCTGAAATGCCATCAGTCTTGCAAATGCAGGGATGAGGATCTCCTTCCAAGGTCCATTGTTTGACACAGTCCTCCTCTGAATCTGCGTTTACTCAGATATTTGCTGTCATGTTTCACTGGGGAGTTGATCGACTTGTTCTGCCTTCCTTCCTCTACTGTGGGACCTGGTGTCTTCTGCAGGCTCCCTAGTCTGATCTGTCTTCCGTGTGCCTCTGGGTATGCCGTCCCTTGCTCCATCAAAGCCACTGAGGAGGTCCAGTTTTGAAGATGCACCCCGTTGTCAGGCTACAGGTCCTGCCACTCTCTCCATAGTTGGAGTTATGAGTTCAGTGAATTAGTTGGGACCCTCAAAGAAATCTAGTCCAAGGCGTTCTCAGACCTATCCCTTGTGTGTGCACCCACTTGTATGGGGGCCCAGTTTGTTCTGTCACCCACATCTCCCCACTTTCACCCTGATAATTACAATTGCTAGGTCAGATCTATTTCTAGCCCCATTTCTTATGAAGACCAGTGGGCACAAAACCAGCCACAACCCAGTTCACATGCAGACCAGCAGGTGTTATCACCCTGCCCAGCTTGGTCTGCCTCCAGTCCCAGTTCTCAGGCTCACCAGCAGGAGCAGTGGCCCAGCAGGAGAGTACCCACAGCTCCCCTGCAGGACTTGCATCCCCCCAACACCAGGTCTTGCATGCGGTGGTAGACACAGTGGCCCAATCTTGCTTGGCCCATTTCACCTTGTCATTTGCCAGTAGGTGCACTAGCCTAGTCTAGCCAGTTTCAGCTTGCACTAGTGGGTGCTGCTACCCAACTCGGCCTAGCCAGCCCTCAGTCCTGGCCCTAATGCTTACTGGGTAGCACTGTCACCCAACCCAGCCTAGCCAGCCCCTGGTCCTGGCCCTAATGTTTACTGGCTGGCGCTGTGACCCAACCTGACCTGTCCTGCACCCTGTGCTGGTTCTCAAATTGCCAGTGGGTATTATAAATTGTCCCAGCCTAGCCTGCCCTGAGACCTGAGCCACAGGTATGCCGGTGCGTACTGTAACCTGACCTAGTCTGAGCTGCTCTTTGCCTTGGTTCTTGAGCTCGCCTGCAGGGACTGTGTTCTGACAAGGAGTTTAGTGCATCACTTTGAACAAGCAAAATTGTGCTAGAATTTTTCCTTTTGATCATTTATAATAATTTCTTGCAGTCCAGTCCTAGTCCTTGATTTATCTTCTTTTCCTGCTCTTACCCTTTGCTACAGGTAAGAATTGCTTGCAATTCACTCCCAGTACTAATCTATTTTCTTTTTCCAATTCACCCCTTCTGGTTTGTAGTACAAATGAAATGATATGCAGTTTGGCCTCTTGGGTGTATGGCTTTTGAAAATTTAGTATATTGTATTTGAGGTTCATGTATGTTGTTCTGTATGTCAGTGAAATGACAGAGAACTAACTGTACGATGGTAATGAAAAATTGTACCCACAGATGTAAGAATCTCAGAGTGCCCCAAGTATCAGAAAATAATCTATATATGTATAGTATGTGAACTGAGAAAGGTAAACAGGGAAGATGAAGAAAGAAGATACATTATATACCAACAGGAAAGTGAGAATTTTAGTAGACTGGGGCAGCCTACTGGCGTTTGCAATGCAAGCATTCTACTGGAATTCAAGTCCCAGTTGCTCTACTTCTGATCCAGCTTCTTGCTGATGAGTCTAGGAAGACAGCAGAATATGGCTCAAGTGCCTGAGCCTCTGGTACCTATACGGGAGATGCAGCTGGAGCTTCTGACTCCAGGTTTCAGTGTGACCCAGCCCTTGCTATTGCAGATTTCATGAAAATTAACCAGTTGGTGTAATCTCCCTTTCTTTGTGTGTCTCTTTTCCTCTCTTGTCACTTTGCCTTTTAAATAAATAAATCTTAAAAGAATTACAATAGATTCTGATTAGAAGCCAAGCAAATCATGAGACATCTTAATGAAATTAAGAGCTGGCAGCTCAAAATTCTCAGTGAAAGTATCTTTCAGAAATTAAATGAATGTATTGTTAGACAAATACATGTAGGTTTAATTCTTTGCCAACCAATTGTACTGCAAATATAGGCTACTGCAAATTTTCAGAAAGAGGTAATATGATATTAGAAGCTTCACTATACAAAGAAATAAGCCTCAGGAAGAATTAAGATGAAGATAAATATAAAAGGTTCCTTTTCACTTTTAATTGCTGTGAAAGATAAATGGCCAAAGCAAATATAGTCGCAATATATTTTAGGTTTATAGCATATATGAAAGAAAAATGTGTGATGGTAATAGAAAAAATGCAAAGGTGGAATAGGAAAAGTACTGCTATGAGTAGTACCCTGTAAGTATAGCTACATTATATTACTAGACAGTACACAGTAATCTGCTGAGAAGCTATTTGGAAGAGAGAGCAACACAGAGGGAGAGATGGAGATCTCCCATCCACTGGTTATTTCCACAGAGGGCTTCAGGACCAGGCAGAAGCCAGGAGTCAGAAGCTCCTCTGGGTCTATCATTTGGGTGAAAAGTTCCAAAGTGCTTGGACTGTTTTGCACTGCCTTCCCAGGTACGTTAGCGGGGAGCAGGATTAGAAGCAGAGAAGCCTAGGCCCAAGTCAGCGCTCTGCTGTGAATGCAGGCTTTGCAAGTAGCAGCCTAACCTTCTGTCTTACAAACCAGCTAAAACTCCACGAAATTTTAATAATAGCTATAAATAATAGAAGCTATAGAATGCAACCATGAAAAATAAAACAAATGTATGCAGCAACAGGGGAAACAAAAATGAAGGAACAGGTGGAGCAAGTGGAAGACAAAAAATGCTGTATTTTTAATCCAGTCATATATGTGACTATACTAAATATGAATTATCTGTCCATGCCAACCAAAAGACAAAGATTATCGTGTTAGATAAAAAAATAAGATGCAACTATATGATTTTCATAAGAAACCTACTTTAAATATAAAAACATACATAGATGAAAAGAATGTAACTTATTCAGTGGCAAGTTTTGAAAGCTCTAGTTCCTTCATATCATTGTCAGCACTTAATACTGCCTGCCTTTCAGTTTAGTTCCTTTGGTGGATGTTTTGAGGGGTTATTGCCTTGTACTTTCTATTGTATGTCTCTGATTATTGGTGAAGTTGATGTTTTATTAGCCATTAGATACTTTTCAATGAATGAGCTGATAAAAACTGGGTTTTTTTTGTTTGTTTGCTCAATGCTCATCTCAAATTATGTTCTCTTTTTCTTATAGAATTTTAGCTATTCATATATGAAGGATATCTGGTGTTATATCTGTGCTGACGTTTGCTCATAGTAGCCTCTCTTGAATTGTGACTGGTGATTTTCTTTTGCGTCCATGGTTTTCAATCTATGGGAGACCTCTTAGCCTAATAAGGTTTCCTCTGGAGCGGATTTGATTTTGTGTCTGCTTATGTTTAGGGAATACTGCCGGTTTAGGATTCCTTCAGATTCCTTTGGGCTTTGAGACTCAGCATAGGTTCAGATTTTCAGTGCTTCTCACCATGCTGCTGGCGCAAGAGTAGCTGAGATTGGTGAGAGCATTGCTGCTCTAATCTCCGCCCTTGGGAAGCTCCGCACTCCCAGATTCAAGGGGCAGTCCTCAGCTGTCTACCTCTTCAGCAGCGGCTTTTGGTTTTTGTTCACAGATTTGTGTTTGGAGAAAATGTTAGCCATCATACTAGAATAAAAGACTTTTTTGTATTAAATACAAGCATTAAGTAACTAAAAAATCCAAAATAGTTAAAGGATTAAAGACAGTTGGGTAAAATAAACATTGCTTTCTCACTCACAAATTAAAATGTATCTTAATTATATATGCATTACAAAATTGACATTTAATGTTGGAGCAAGAAATAATCTCAGAAATAACTTTCTGTACTTTGAAAATTTTCAGGTGAGTTGCAAAGAAATGAAATTACTTAACTGAGCATATTAAGTTTATTAATGGCTAGGACTAAATTAGAGACCTTCGAACATAGTACTATATTTTTTTCCACTAAAAATATTGCTCCTGGGCCTGGTGTGGTTGTACGTGCCAGTATCCCATATGGGTGCTGGTTCTAATCCCTGCAGCCCTGCTTCCCATCCAGCTCCTTGCCTGTGGCCTGGGAAAGCAGTCGAGGCCAGCCCAAAGCCTTGGACCCTGCACACGTGTGGGAGACCAGGAAGAGATTCCAAGTTTCTGGCTTCAGATCGGCCGAAGCTCCATTGAGGCTGCTTGGGGAGTCAGCAGATGGAAGATTTCCCTCTCTGTCTCTCGTCCTCTCTGTATATCTGTCTTTCCAATAAAAATAAATAAATCTTTAAAAAAATTGCTCCTTTAATTTTATTAAAATGCTAACTATCTGTTATTTATTCAACATACCTCATTTTCCTTTGGAATATTTTTTGCCTAAAAAATATTTTAGAGAGGGAGAGAGAGGAAGACAGGCAGAGATCTTGTGTGAGTGTTCAGTACCCACAATCCCACAGCAGCTATGAATGTACCAGAACAAAAGCAGGACCTGGGACCTGACTCCCTGTCTCCCACATAGATACCAGGAGCTCAAGTACGCGAGTCCTCAGCCGCTTCTTCCCAGCATGCAGCATTAATGGGAAGCTAGAAGTAGCAGCGGAGCTGGGACCCCAGCATGGAATACAGATTTCTCAAGTAGCATTGTAATCATTAGGCCAAATGTTCTTCTCTACCTTATTTTTCTTATGAATGGTTTTCTTTCTAAATTTTTTGTGGTCCTTATAGTGTTATAAAGAGAATTAAAATTTCCAAGTTATTATTTTTTAAATTTTGAACTACTGATTATGGAACCTACAGTCTGCCATTATTTGTGCACTGAAAACACATTTTGAAACACTTTACTCTTGAGCTAATAAGGCACTTTTTTTTTTGAAGACTTAAAAAAGAACTAGAACTTTATAAGGAAGATGACTTGGAAAGTGTTTACGAAGCTCTCCAAAGAGAAATAGAATTTTTGGAGTTGGTAAGCTCTCATTGATTATTTACTTTCTGTTCATCCTTATTTTGTCTGCTGCTAGGAATGGTTTGATTGATGTACATATCCTTGCACTGCTGTCTTGCTCGTCTGCAAAAAAACAAAATGCAACAATGAAAAAAAAAAACTTAGGTCAAGATATGATGCCATGAATTGTTTTGGGTTCCTTGTAAGGTGCCAAATAAAACGAGTTATAGTCAAAGAGAGTATGTACAAGCTAAATAGAAAAAAATATAAACCTGACCTCACAGCATTTCCTTGACTGAAGGTGCTCTTACAGGATTAATGCACTAAGGAGTCTGATTACCATGGTTAGAAGCTCTTTGTTTTTGATAGGTATAAAATGTATTTTTGTTATATTTGATTCTATAACTTTCTTGGTATAGATTTCTATGATCTGAAAATCTTTGGATTTGATTTTTGGCAACTTATTGGAGACTTTATATTTATTGCTTTCACTTTGGTTGTTAATAACATGAGCACAGTATTTGCCTCCGTACCTGTGTTTTGATAGAGGACATATATAACTTCAAAGTATATTAAAACATAATTTTAATTTGATACTTTACGTTTTGCTATGTGTTTATTCACTGCTGTTATTGTTGAAATATGTTCCAGTTTATGTTTGGATTTATACATTTTTTTTTTAAATCAGAACTGTAATTCAGAAATGTTCAGAGTTTGAGGGTGGGCATTTGGGCATAGTAGGTTAAACCAACATTTCCTCTGCCTTCAAGCCATCTTAGAATGCTATTTCAAGTGTCAGTTACGCTGTTTCCAATCTGTTGAAGTGATAACCCATGCTAAGAGGCAGCAGGTGTTTGGACATCTGGGTGGAGTTCTTGGCTCCTGGCTTTAGCTAATCTGGCCCTGAGTACTGCCTACCTTCAGAGCGAAGCAGCAGATGGACGGTCTCTACGTCCCTCTCTCCTTATCTCTTGCTCTGTATCTCTCCCATCTCCTTCCCTTTCTATTTTGTTTCTCTGTCACTCTGCATTTTAAGTAGATGAAAGTAAGTAAATAAACATTTAGAAAAAAAGAAATGCTTGGCTATTGTGCTGAATTTGTGTAAATTTTATATAATTGCTCTACTGAAATTCAGTTTTCTTAAGAATCATTATTTTACTTTTTTTCAGACATTGGCACAGAAAGGTCTTCAGGAGGATGAGTAACTTTTAGAGAATCAATCAGAATTTGGATGAAAGTATTATAGAATCAAATTATTGTAATAGATGCATGATTGGCACCCATTATAAAAGATTATTAGAAAAAAAAATGAGGCCTTGAATACCCAAAGTTGTTAATACGTCAAATTAAGAGCACATTAATTACTTTTTGTCTTGCCACTCACTGGAACTTTAGGAATTTTTGTGTAGTTTGGTTTTGTTTCTAAAGGAAGAGAAAAGAGAAACAGATTTTTGTGTTCTCAGGCTTCCTCTGAGATCTCTCTGACCCTGAAGCTTATTCCTGTTTTCGGATCTATACAAACAAAACAGGTTATTGACTAAGTGTGGGTGTGGGTGCCATTTCCACCAGCAGTTCTGCTTAGTTCATTCTGATTCTTCACTGTGAGGCTGTGCTGACAGAGTTCCTCTGTGGAGCTCTGTATATCTGTAAGGTCTGCGGCCCCCACAGCTGATTTCAACAGTCAGTGCTTGCTAATTTTCTTCCTAGAGCCAGTGTTGGTTAGAGTGAAATAAATTGTCCACTCAGAGAGGTTCATAATCTAACAGCTACCAGAACTTGCCTTGTAGCCTGAATATTGTGATTGAAAACAGTGCGCTCATCAAATTTGGATGTGCCACAAAATTTTCAATGTCCCTTATCTTCCTGCTGATACCATTCATGCATGACTAGGCAGACAAATATATTTTCACCAGTTTAGAAAAATAAGAAAGAAAAAGAGAAAGGCCACAAGGCCAGTGTTGTTGTACACTGTTGTTGCAGTACATGGGGTTGTAGTATAAATAAGCCCCTGCCTGTGATGCTAGCAGCCCATATGGGTGCCCGTTTGCCCAGGCTGCTCCAGTTCTCCATGCTGAAATGTCTGAGAGTGCAAATGTTAGAACCATCTTCTCTTTTGTAATAGCAATTAATTTAATGTCAAACATGATATTTTTCAAATGCCTTATATCTGATGATATGAAGATGGAATACTTAGTTCTAGTTTCATAGTGATTGTTACTTTGATATAAATGTTTTGTATAGGTTGTTCTGTATTGTTTCTGAAAAATTAGCAAATTTAAAACACTGTCCTTTGAGTCATGCAAAAACTTGTATCAAATTAAATCACTTTCAAAAGTGATTTAATACCTTTTCACTTACCAGTCATTTTTGTTCATTAATGGTTTTTTAGCTAAGATGTTAACTTCAAGATGTGTCATATGTTTATATTACAAGAACATAATAGAATACATACAGAATACACATTCAGAGTGATGCTGTTTTATTGATCCATTGTTTTTTCACATGTCTGACATAAAATGTCTAGATTAAATATTAATAAAAATTCATTTTGAAGAATTAACTTGAAAATTTTAAATAAAAAATTAAATTTGCAAAAAGAATGAATTCTTTTTGGATTATGTTGAAATAAATCTATTCATGTTTAAAGTTATTTTAAGATATGCCAATGAATAATTATTTTAGGACTCGATGACAAAATAATACAAAGCACTGCCAGTGTTCACCAATCACAACAACTGGCAGCTTTAGAATCAGTGTATGCAGAGGAAGAACTGTCTGAAGCGGAGGATGTACAGCCAGCAACAGAAGTCAGCGTGTGCAGAGCTGAGCTGCACCATCAAGGCATCACCAGTAGAGTGGGTTTGTTTTAAACTTTTTAAAGAATGAGACTCAAATTAACAGGAAAAGTAATTGAAATTGGCTTGAGTAAAAATATGTCTCAGACTAAATTTAATTACTGCGGAAGTGATACTTTGGCTGTATAGAAAGGCAATTTCAAATGAATGCCCACTCACAAAGTACATTTACAAAATTTGCCATAGACTTAGTTATAACCAAAGTACAAATTGCCCCAAAGTAAACTGATACTCCTCTGAGCTTCTTACTGTGTCACCATCGTTCTTTAACGTAATAGAAGTTCTGTCTCAAGAAACATGAATTTTCAGTTCTCCATTGGGGATAATAATAGAAAGCATAGATAAAGACTTTGCTGCATATTTCTTTCCTGCTGATTAATGGAGCCATTTGGCTAGGGGGAAAACAGCAGCAAAATTACAGGATATGGAGCATGACCACTGGACTAGAAATTCTTTTCTTCTTTTCTTGGCCTAATTACTGAAATGGGAAGAAAAAGCAAAGATATAGCTTTAAGGTATGAACAATCAGAAGATTTCTACATCGTGGGTGTTTTGTCCAGAATGATGTTTTCTCATGTTATAAACAAAACAAACAAAACACAACCAAGAACCAAAGAGCACTTTGCCCACTAGCTTGTTCTTGGAGTTTGAAGATCCATGATGAGGTTGTGAAAAGTCTCAGAGAAGTTTGAGGTCATTGTAACATACTGAACAGAATCTTAAAACACAAAACAGTTGACAATAGTCAGCTGGGATTGGTAATTTATTGTAGAATGGGAATTGTGCTGTGAAAAATCTTTGAGTTTCTTACCAGAAGCGCAAGTGGTCATTCAGCTGGCTAACTGCAGGGCAGATGTATGCGCTGGACAGAACTAGTTCTAACCTTTGTCTGAGGACAAAGTCCCTTTTTATTTCATACCAATCAATCATATGTAACTGTGTCACACTACTATGAATAAATCATTTATTTCTAGTCCAGAAAACAGTGGCAATTCAGTTACATGATTAGAAATAAATATGAGATGATTTTAATCCTGGTTGTAAAGCAATAAGGTGTTCTAATATTTTTTATAACATAAAACTTAAAATTTGAAGTTGTTCAGTGCACTAAAATTAATTTTAACATTTGAAACTGATGAATGTTAGGATAGTTTTTTTCTTTTTTCTTTGTTGGTCCCTCTGCTCCCCTTAGTCATTCTGCAAAGCTTAAATGAACTAAGGATATTTGTTTCTCAGAATCTAGCTGTGAACATTTTCTATCAAGGGGATTTTTTTAAGATGAGAACTCAAAATTGAAAAATATATTTTGTCATTAGCCTGAAGCAGGGATGAACTCTTGGAGTTTTTGTGGCCCTTTTGTCTTAAGATAACAAGATTAAAACAATGTAGACATAGAAAGGATAAACTTATCTTTGAAATTATTTGACTTATGAATGTATGGTTGGTCTTATTTGTGCTTTTTAAAAGTGTTTTCAAGTTAGGTAAGTTTTTTCTTGATCTGGTAATGTTCAAATCATAGCAATAAAGAAGGCTTATTCATTATTGATTTTTATGACATTTGATGGAAGAAATACTGAGATAATATTTAGTAATACACGAGGAAGATAATGTATAAATGGTCTCCTGCTTAGTAAGTGAGAACCACGATTTTGTTGTTCATTGTCTGGAAGGTGACATTTTATTAAGCATAAAGAAAAACTGTATAGGATAATGCTTGTTACAGGAACATATTTACTTTGGAAAAAAAAAAAAAAGAAAGCGTGATCAAGAGAACCGTAACTGATGGTAAAGTGCTCTCCCGGCTGTTGCTAGGAAAGGCATCAAACACAGAACTGTCAGAACTCAACGCCTATTTGAACAACTCCTTTTGATACATAGCAAATTTATGTTAAACATCATTGTGAAAACAACACTAATGGGATTTAGATGTCTGAGAAAATAGAGAGTAAATAAAAATGTGAAATTAGTAACAATGACTGGTATAAATAGCTGTTGCAAATAAAACTAGAGAAGATAATTTTGTTTCTTAGAACCAGAAGAGCTATACTACTCTAATAACCTAAGTTAATTATTTTTATACTTACAATAAATTGTCATTCTAATTAGTTGATAAATAAAATCTTATTAAAATAAAATCTTCTTAATCTGAATGTAATAGATGCAAATATAATTACTAATGAATATTCCAGGATATGACTTTGTGATTACTAGAGAAAGTACTTACAAATTCAAGTCACCATTGAGAATTGCAGTTGTAGAAATAGTTTTTATGCGCTTTTGACAAAACAGCCCTTACTTGGGATTGGGTGACAATAGGGTAAGGTCTAAAAGTCAGTGTATTTTCAACTATAAAATAGCTGGTGACAAAATTTCGTGCTGAAATCTGGTACAAAGTAAGACACCGACATTATATTAAAATGGTTTTACCCAATAGCATCAAGACTGCTGACTCTTTGGAGATTGAGCACATAGCCCAGTTTTTACAGAAGAAACAGGTTTGCTGGATGATCTCATCTGTGTGAGCTCATGGAGAGCAGCAGTGGCCTTTTTCGAGGGGGGAATTAGGGAGGTGTTTTTTTTTTTTTTCCCCCAGATTAGTTGCTTAGGCTTCAGTTCTTACACATTAAAAAAAAAATATGGCCATTAACATTTTGTATATGTTGCAATCTTATATCAAATTAATGAGTTTTTGAAAATTATCTTTAGATCCCAGAAAACATTGTTTACTCAGAATCAGTGATAATGAATCTTTAATTAATGAAGAATGTTTTTCTGTGTTTCTCAAGAAGAAAGGGCAGGGGCTGGCACTGTGACCCAACAAGGATTATCTTCCACCTTCAAGTGGTGACATCCCGTATGGGTGACTGTTTATGTCCTGGCTTTTCCACTTTCCATCCAGCTCTCTGGTGATGACCTGGAAAAGCAGTGGAGGAGGATGGCTGTAGTCTTTTGGAGTCTGTACCCATATGGGAGACTGGAAAGAGGTTCCAGACTGAGGCAATTTAGGGAGTAAACCAGTGGATGGAATACCTTTATCTGTTTCTTCTTCTCTCTGTATATCTGCCTTCCAAATAAGAAAAAATAAATCTTCAAAACAAATGAAATAAAGGACAAATCATAACAAAACAGCAAATATTACTGAAAGTTTACCTTATTGGTATTTCTTGAACATAACACCTATTCTTTGCTCTTTACGTTCTACACTATTTTTCCAGTGCTCCCCTGTGGTCATTTTAGGTGGTAGCCCGAGAAATGGTACATACTTGAAATATCAAATAGTAAGAGTTGTATTTCTTATCCAATTCTTACTAAGGCAGAAATATAGTCTAATAGAAAACTCCCAGAAATAC